CTCCTGGCCGCCCAGGGGCGTCCCGGACGGCCCGGACGATGGCACGAAAGGTAGGTCCACGGGTGTCTGAGCCTGCGAGGACGGGGGGCCTTGCGGGAAGAAGTCGTAGTTGCCTCCGGGCCCGTAGTACTCGCTCTGGTAATCTGCGGAGCAGGGGGAGGAGGAGGTCAGGGCGGGGCCCCGGGGTGGGGTGGGATAAAGGGCAGGGAGGCACCCTAGCTAGCCGGCTGGGGGCTCCCTTCCAGGCTGGGAGCTGGGAGGAGGCTGGGTGCACACACTGGACCTGCTGGCTAACTGCCCACCCGCCTCATTCAGACTCGGGGATTCCACCGCCCCCTTCATTTAATGCCCAGCCTCCCCGATCTCTCCTCTGATCTGCAGCCTGAGAGAAGCGCCTCCCTAGCTGCCACCCGCTTCCAACGAAGCCAACCCGGGCCTAGCCGAGCCCTGCCCGGGGCAGCGCACCCACCTCCGTAGAAGGAGAAGGGCTCGGACTGCGGAAGAAGGCGTGGCGCCGGGCGCCCAGCGCGCTCAGCTGCTTCATCCTCCGTTCCTTGGAGCGTCGGTTCTGGAACCAGACCTGAAGCACACACGCCATGGGGTGAAGCCACAAAACCCCACTCCCCATTTCCGGTTAGCCGCCCCGCCGGCCCCTCACACTCCACAGCCTAGCTCTCAGAGCTCCGTGTGTGTGTGTGTGTGTGTGTGTGTGTACACGTGCGTGTTGTGTATGGTGTTGGGGGTGGGGTCCTCTGAGCAGGGCAGCGCTGGGCGGCCCCTGAGCCAACGGTGAACAGGATTCCCGCCTGGAGGACCTGGGCAAGCTGCCCTGCCCAACGTGAGGCAGTTGGAGTTGTTTCTAAGTCACAATGTCATAGTTACAGCTTCTCCGGGGCTGTGCACACATAGACACTCAGCCTCCCCAAGTAGTGTCAGACACACAGTTTTCCTCTATGGTCCCTGGCAGCTCCCTCCTCCACATGATAGCAGACAGAGAACTAAACAGCCTCCTGTTGACACTCAATCTCCCAACGACAGTGACACCAAATCGCACAATATCCTTTCCACACCCACGCACAATCTTCCACTGCCAAAGATAGTTATCCGCAGCCGCTCACTCACAGTGACACAGACATGCAGCCTACCAGCCACGTGCGTGCACTTTGGCACAACCTCCCAGAGGCTGGATCCCCCCTGGGCAGCTTGCATACGTGTGTGCACCCTCAGCCTCCCAGGCCCATCCAGGCACACCCTGGAAGAGCATCCAGGCACATGAACGGGACAACTGAACTTGGGCCAGAGCCTCCACTCCACCCGAAGCACGTGCAGTCTCAGATGCTTACAACACCAGCACAGCTGCCCAGATGGCCACCTCCCTCTCCATCCTACCTGGGCCCATGAGGTAGGGCTGACTCCCCGGAGACTGACCACCTCACCTTCTAACCAGGATGTCCCACTCTCTCCAGAGGGGAAGCCTCTGCTCTGGGACTTGTCTAACTACGGCAAGAGACCCACAAAGTTGGGGTTAGGGATGTAGAGGGAGATCTCCTTGTGCAGAAGCCAGAGGAACCATTAAGTTCCACATGCACAGTGACCTCTGGGCTCCTTCGGAACAGGGGTAAGTGGCGCAGAGAAAAAGCGTCCCAACTCTCACCGAGTGTCCCACCATGTCCCTTCCCCCAGCCTCCTTTGGAGCTCCCTAGTTCCCTTTCCCTCCCCCCTGGGCCACCAGGATCACCAGGAAGAGGAGGAGACCTAGGGGTTTCTAGTCGTTCTAAACATTGGGCAGAGCTTCAAATGTCCAAAGGGGTAACGGTGTGTCTGGGCTTCTCCTCACCCTAAGGCCGGCCTCCGCTGCTGCGAGGTGGCCTGGAGGAGTCCTGTGGGTCTGTGGGAACCGAGTGGACCCTGACCTGAATGACGCGCATGTTGAGGCCCGTCTCCTGAGCCAGCTGCTCTCGGATGTGGCGCGTGGGCTTGGGCGTCGCGGCAAAGGCAGCCTTCAGCGTCTCCAGCTGCTTGGCTTTGATGGTGGTGCGTGGCCCTCGCCGCTTGGCGCCCAGGTTCTGGTCGTCATTCTCATTGCTGCCCCCTTCCTTGTCCGACACGTTGGCGCTCTCCGAGTCCTTGGCGTCGTCCTGCGACGGGTCTTGGGAGTCCGGAGACAAACTGGGGTCACTGCCCGTGGTGGCTGGAGAAAAGGGAGGGACAGGTGTGAGCAGCGGCCTTGGCTGACCTTCCTCGCCCAGGACCTGCCCGCCCCAGGTTCGCGGGGAATTGGGGCCTCACCCGAGTGCAGGCTGTTCTCTTTGGCGACGCTGCTGTTGCTTAGGTAATCCTCTTTGCAGACGAATTTGTTCTCGTCGATGATGTAAAGCTCCTCGCCGGTGGAGAGCTGCTTGTTACACATCATGCAGGTGAAGCAGTTGAGGTGAAACACTTTGCTCCGCGCTCTCCGCACCAGGTCGCTAGGGGAGATGCCCTGCGCGCAGCCTGCGCATTTTGTACCGAAACACCTGCAAGAGGGGGGTGGGGGGGAAAGGGGCAGAGAACACAGAAGCAGGGGAAAGACAAGGAGAAATAAATAAGTGGAAAATGGAGGAAGGCGAAAAAGAAGGGGGAAATGAAAAAAAGAGAGACAGCAAAAAAGTAAGAAAGGCAGAATGCCGATCAAGTAGGCAAGAAAGCAGAAGAGAGCGCGGGCACCACGAAAAGTCCGGGAGGAGATCCATTTCGTTAGAGTGAGAGCGCAGAGCCCAAACCGCCCCCACTCCTAGCCTCATGCCCGATGTGTCCACGAGGAAAAAAGCGCTGCCCGAGAGAGAAGGCGGCAAGGCGGAGAAGGGTAGGGGGAGGGAGGCACTTATTTTCCGATTAGATTCAGAAAACAAATTCTAATTAGAGCGCCTTATAAACGCCACCCTAGCGCCGCTTTTCTTCTAGCGCCCTTTCTCCTTCACCGCCAAAGGACCCGCGCACTGGCGGGGGGAGGGGGGTGAAGGGGTTGGCGAGGTCCAGTCCCGCTGCAGGTGAACAAACAGCCCGGGAGAGCCCAGACGGCCGCAGCTGGACCGCAGCCACGTTCAAGCCCAAAGACAGGCAGGTTGGCGCAAGCTAGAGCCCCGGCTTGGCTTTAGACACCGGGACGCGCTTTGCGGGAGGGCCAGGCCTCTGGGGCCCACTGGCACGGTGCGCGGCTCCCCGGCTGGGTTCCAGCCAGCGCCAGGGAAAGCGGGCATGACCTGCCGAGGCTCAGAGCTTCAGCCTGGGCTTCTTCTGGCAATACCAGCCTGCACCGGACTTTGCTGCACAGTCTCCCGTAACCGGAGCCACGCGTCCTGGGGTGGCATTGGGGACAGGTGGCTTGAACTCCCACCCACCCCCCTCTCCCAGTTTGATCTGTCACTACAGACACCGAAGAAAATAGAGACCTAGTCAGCCCTAGTCAGGAAACTGGGAGGTTCCCAGCACCGCCCGGGGAATGACAATTCGAATTCGCTCCAGTTCTCTGTTGCCTTGTGCGTTTGCCAAACAGTGAATTTCAGAGACTATGATTAAAATGCTAAATGGAGGGGTGTCGGGAGAATTCGTGGCTTTCCCCCCAAGTTTCCGCAAGGAGGTGGCGGGGTGATGGGCAGTGCTTGGGAGAGCGGCTCCTCCGCCCCAGAGCCAAAGTCCGCGTAGGGCGGAGGCCAAACCTCCCGCCAACCCCAGGCAGCGGGGTGAGCAGGGGAAACGATCTTCAGGGAGGCGGCAGCCTCTGGGCGTTTCACAGTGGCGGAGAGGCAGTTTGCCGAGGCCAGCGCCGGGAGGCTGGTCGGGAACGCCCCGGGATGTGTAGGATAGGGGCTATTTCCTGCCGCTGCCTGGGCAAGTGGCTGTGACACCCCGTGCAAAAAGCTCCGCGGTTCCCGCCAAGACCTCTTGGAGACCTCGAGCCGCGGCGGCGTAGAGCTAGACCGGGCTTCAAGGCTCAGCCCGGAGGGCAAGCAACTCCGGAGGCCGGGAGAATGCAGCTGCTGGAGAGCTCCGCGCACTGGGAAGGAGAGCAGCCAGGGCTACCACGTCCGAGGCCGCGCTGCCTTCCTCCAAGCTCGGAGGGGCTTCTGGGCCGAGGCGGGCTCAGACCCTTTTTTTCCTGGGCACGTGCAGCTAAGCCGCGACCCACAATTTCCAGGATGCAAGCAGGGACGCGTCCCGGGAGCCCAGCGCGCTAGCTGGCGAAGAGGCGGGCGCCTGCGGGACTTGGCTGCCCTCTCCAAAGGCAGTCCCCTAACGCAGCCACGCTGACCTCTGATCCGTGGCTGGCCCCGAAGGGCCCGCGGGAAGGGAGCGGCAGAGGCCCGCGAGGAAAGTACTCACCGGAAGAAGTCGTTCTTGCAGTAGAGCTTGCCTTCCCGGGAGAAGCACTTCTCGGTCAGGTTGCATTTACATTCACAGCACTGGACGCACTTGACGTGCCAGGCCCTGTCCAGCACGTTCAAGAGGAAGCGGTCCAGGATGGGCCTTTTGCAGCCGGCACAGTGCACCATGGTCTTTGGTTTAGTCGGGTGAGGCCCGGAGAGAGAAGAGCAGGTAGAGCAGAAGGGTGGACTCCCGAAAGGAGCTCCCCAGCTCCTCCAAAAAGAGGAGACACACACGGCGGTGCCAGCCGAAATCCGCACCAGGAAATCAAAAGGGGGGGGAGGGACGAGGCAAAACGGGGCGCCCCGGTGGTGTGCAGCCTGGGCGTCCCAAGGCCCCGGGTCCAGCAGCGCCACCACCGCTCCTGGGGTGAGGAAAAGAGTCTCCGGCGGGTGCGAAAGCGACTCTTCTGCCCAGAACCCGCGGAGAAGTGAAGGTCACCGAGACGGTGAGGGTAACGAATTAAATAAATAAAACGGGGAAGCAAGAGGGCGACGCACGCGACGAGCTATTTGCAGGGAGTTCTCACGGGCTTGAGGTAGAGCTGTCAGAAGTCAAGGTGCATCTGCTTTTGTCGGGCTGCGAGGGCGGGTTGTGTGTGTGCCCGGCTGCCCGCCACCGGGACTTCCCCTCCTCTTTTTATAAAAGAAAAGAACAAAACGAGTAGAGAAGCTTTGGATCCTAAACTGCAGGCATGGCACAGCGGGGTCGGGACGTGCTGGGCGC